TTTTCTTCTCCCCCCCCCCCCCCCGGCAAAAATTTCCTTCGTCACTTTAAGGAAAGCTGTTAATTAAATCATCATCATTCATTTTTTATCTGATAATGGAGTGAAAGGCTAGGACACAGCCAGCCAGTACAGCCAAGTTTATGGGCAGTAGTGTCTATATTAGAAATAACCCCAACTTGCAGTTTGCTTTCAATGTGGACTTGTATGCAAAAAAAATTCACTTGATTAACAGGGCAATCAAACTTGATTGTTGCCCTAACTTTGCCAGTTCTGGTCACGCCTAACAGGGGAGAAGAGAAATCTGTGGGGTGCATTTGTGGCGGCAGAAAAGTGGAAAACTGAAGTTCTGTTTGAGTAAACTTCTTTTGTTAAACCAACTGAGCATAGCACTCCCCTGAGCATTCTTGCCTAGAGAATTTTTCCTGTACTAAGGCTGTTCAGTTTTGAGTTTGCTTTCTTGGCTTGAAGTTCCTTACACTCCATAGCTCTCTGGGCTTAGTTTTGTGGTATTTGTAGTCAAGTAGCATGTCCCCAGTGTACGTTGAACATCCTGCTGAAAGAATGCTACCTACTCTTATTGTAGTCATTGTTTTGCTTCTCCCTCTCCCTCTCTCTTTTTTTTCTCCCTCTCTCTCTTTTTTCCTCTTTCTCCCTCTTTTTCTCTCTTTCTTTCCCTCTCCCCCCCCATCTTAAATACTTTGCTGTTAAGTGGGAGAAAACATTTGTGATGATTCAAGTGTCAACAGCCTGTCTCAATCTCAAATATTTCAGTGGAATAGCTAAGGGGATATCAATGGTCACCCTAAAATAAGTTTATTTTTTTTAAGTGAATGTTATCGGCCACTTCTCTCACTGTATAAACTCCATTGCCCTCTGGAGTGGATCACTGATATTGGTGTTTTGGTTTCTCAGTGAAGTGTGGCAGTCCGCTGGGCTCTGCTTACCTATACAAGGACTGTCTAGAAATTGTAATCTTCCCTCTTGGGAGTGATGCAGACTTTGAGGAAGTCTAGGGTCAAAAGCCATATGTAATGCTTGTAAAATCTCTGCCACAACATGGAAGTTAAAACACAAGAAAATAAGGTTCTAAAGAAAGAAGGTAAATATTTTTGCACAATATTCTAGCTCTACTTGCCTGAATGCTTAAAATTGTTATGGAAATGATGTGTGGGGAACTGGATATCTAGGTGAAGCAGCTACTAAACATTACATAGTGTGGTATTGCCTTTTGCAATACTGCATTTTTCTCCTAAAAAATAAAATTGAAAATAATATACCAAGGGGGCCAACATCCCCTTAGCTATATTCTGAGATAAATCCTGAGTAACTTCATTGTCTTCAAATGTGTTGTCATGCTTCAGTGAAGATAAGACTGCTAAACTAGAGAGCAGACAATGTTGCATCACTATATAAAGATACTGAGGCGTGAGACAGTATCACAAAAATGACAGTGAGAGAGACTGATTTCATTGCATTTGTTCAGTACTTCTCTGCAGCTAGATTCAGTGTTGTTTCCCTCCTAATGGTCTCTGAGAGTGTTTCCCAGCTGTGATAAATGTCTCCATAAGGTAAGGTTCATCGTAGGGATTTAAAAAATAAATTTTACTTCCTCTCTAGTACCTGATAGTGGTTCCTGCCAGAAGCAGGCTAATAGATGAAATGGACTAATGGTCTGATTTAGTAGAAAACGGCTGCATACCTGTTACGTGTCAGTACCTCTCGTGTGCAAATTATGTGTGTTTTATAACACAGCGTTTTATTCTTTAGTATCTCTTTTTCTGGGTAGAAATGATCTTTTTAGCTCTAAATTTTTAGAACCTTACAGTTAATGTTTCCTTTCCATTATCATCTTCTCTAGGACGACAGTGATGGGATTCCGTGGTCAGAGGAGAGGGTGGTACGAAAGGTCCTTTATTTATCTCTAAAGGAGTTCAAGAACGCACAGAAAAGGCAGCATGGTGATGGTATTAATGGCAGTCTCAAAACGGTGAATGGTAAGTTTCTTCCTTGGTACCACTGGAGGAGTTTTTCTCTCATTTTTATGCTTGGTTTTCAAAATCTGACTGACAAATGTACAGTTCAGGATTTGTTTTTGAAGTATTTAAAAGGTCCACTTCACCTATACTGACATGTTTGTCTCTGAATTTAAGTATTTATTAGGAATGTATTGGAAACTATGTACCGAGAGAGCCTTGCTGCCCTTGGGATTTGAAATAATGTATTCTCAATCTGCACAGTTTTTAACCTTTTGGGCAATTGAGGAAGAATTTCAGACTGTCTTTGGTTAAGAAAGACATGATGCCTTGAAGAGAGAGTGTAAGATGTGGCCCTTATGGACTCATTCAGGTTTTAAAAAAGCTTTATTTTGTTTCATTGCACCTGGAAAATGATGGCTAGCAGAGTTCAGGTTTCTGGGCAAGTTTGTGTTTTCCTTTTTACCTTACAAGTTTTTTGAGAGGTTTTTGGCAGCTTCTTCTCAGTATGAGCATGTGCTAGTATGTGCTGCAAACTAGCCCTCGCCCTCCCCAAATGCCACTCTGATTCCCTTGCCATGCCTGATCTGTTGCTTTACTTTCTGCTTCCTTCCCTGTACTCCCTGCCCAACCTGCTACTTTGCCTTCTGCTGTCACCCCTATCTGTCACTGCGCTCCCATCTCCCTAATAT